GTCACTGAGTCTCCCCGGGGAGGGAATCTGATAGGCTGAGCCTGGCATCTGAATTTGTTCCCACAAGTCAGTGTGACCACGAGAGGAGGGTCGCATATTAGGTAATTCTGTAGGGCTGTGGGAGACAGAAAACATAATTCTAAACATAACAATCAACACGTTCAGCGCTCCGTGTGTGTTCTAAGCACTTTCACGCACTCTCGTATTCTCACAAAACCCCTATTACATAGGTGTTATTATTATTCCGTTTTTATGAATCAGCAAACTGCAGCACAGACAGGTATAGAAGCTTGTTTAGCAGCACACAGCTGATCAGTGGCTGAGCCAGGAAACAAACCAGGCTGTCTGATTCTGGCCTCTGTGTTCCTAATCACTACTCCGTGTTGCCTGTCTGAAACAGACATTGCTAGGATACCATATTTCATCTTTTGTACCCTTTTTGGTACCCAAACGTTGGGCACTGAATGTCTATTCAATGCATGCTCGACAAATGAATGAATGAGTGAATGAATGAACAAAAAACACAGTCTACAGGAAGTTAGGGTGTAGAACATTCCCCAGTCTTGAAAGCCTTGACCTGCTGCTGTCTGCCCGAGTGCCAACGTGCACGTGCTCAAAGCGCTCTTTCCCCATCCCTCTCTTTTTGCTCAGACAAGAGCGAGAACGGCGAGGCGTATCAGAGGAAGAAGGCTGCAGCCACCGGCCTCCTGGAGGGCCCTGCTCCCGCGGTGCCTGCTCGGGGGAACCTGACGCAGCCCGGTGTCAGCAGCTGGAGGAGGATCGCACTGCTCATCCTGGCCATCACCATACACAACGTCCCAGGTGAGGCCTCACCCTTGATCCGCAGCCACCAGCCTGCAAAAGGGGTATGGGCGGGCAATTGCCACACGGGTACTTTTTGGAGAGGAGTGGAGGTGAGAGTGTAAATCTTTCTTGACTTTATTTTTTGGATTACTCATTGTGGATTGATCATTGTATGTTAAAACTTCCCATTCTGGTTACTTTAAGCAACTTCTTCTGTTTCTACCTATGAGTTCCTTTCTTTACATATTTGATACAAAGTTATTTGGAGCATACATTTATAACTGTTATATGATTAACAAAAAAATTAATTAAAAAAGGACACCTTTTATAAATACAGGATACTTCTGGTTCTGCTTCATGCTTCTTGAAGATATCAAATTAAATACAGTTTGATACTGATGTTTTCCCTACCTGCTTTCTTCATGTGGGCATCTTTTTGAAATGTTCTTACCAACTTTCCTATTTAGCATTTTGTAGTAATTTTGTTTTATGTCTTTGGGTTTATTTTAATTGGAGACAAGAGACTTATTGATGTTTTATTTAAAAAGTAACATGTGTCTTTTTTAGAGCAATTAGAAGACATGGATAAGCATAAAAATAATATTATGAAAATAAATACATTGAAGGAATGTGAGCTCTTTGGGATACATTTTGGAGTTCCAGCTCTGCCACTTACTAACAAGTTTATCTTGACAAATTGCTAGACCTCCTTGAACCTTGGTTTTTCTCATCAATGAAATGGGATAATACTGCAATGGGCTTACTTTGAGAAATAAATGAAATTTTGGAGTTCCAGCTCTGCCACTTACTAACAAGTTTATCTTGACAAATTGCTAGACCTCCCTGAACCTTGGTTTTTCTCATCAATGAAATGGGATAATACTGCAATGGGCTTACTTTGAGAAATAAATGAAACGCTCAACACACATACAGCTTTCAGTATAGTGCTGGGGCCTTCTGAGCATTTGAAAAATGGGAGCCATCATTAGTGTTGATAATACTCCTGACTGCCTTTACACACGACTTCCTCAGTCTTGAGTTCTTAAACATTCTGATTCATCTTTCATTGTTTTGGAACTCGAGTTTGAGCCATAATCTTTCCCAGGGATCATCCTTGGGTAATAGAGTTTCTGAGTGCTTGCAGAATTCACAGTGCCAATCTGTTATCCTATTACAGGAACAATGACTTGGCGGGGCAAAGCTCTCTCAGGTCACAACATTTTTCTCTTCAAATGTAACTCTGTTGTCTTCTGGCTTTAGTATCATGGAAGCAAAGGGCCTGGCCAAACCGAGTTTATTCCTCTGTGTAAGATGATATTCTTTTGCTTGCATGATGAAGACAATTTTTTCACCTTTAAAAAATGTGAATTCTAATATTAGAATTATATTAGAATATATGTTTTATATTCTAGTATATATTAAATCTGCCTGAAGCACCGTGTGTCCAAGCACTTTTTAAACCCCAATATTTCTTCAGGTGAGAAGCACGTTCCTCTATTATTTCTATCCTAATCTTAGGAATTTCTCTCCTGTGATTATGTCTAAGCTGGTTTTCCCAAATTTTTCATCAGCATCTGTTTCTCTCTCATTTCCCTCTTGGCCCTTTCCCTTTGGATTATGAGTATTCTTTTTTGGTTGGTTTTCTATAACTTTCTAGGATGTCTCAAGATGAAGTCTTATGGATCCCAGTGCACACAGATGACCAAAGTAGATTTGCTCTGCTGCCAGGGTCTGGTCATGCTCATCCCAATATCTTCAGGAGCTCCCTGGGAGATGAAAGCCTCTGTAGAGAATGATTTGAAAGCCTCTGCAGTTACTTTCAGCTGATGAAATGCTAATCATTAGCAAAGGAAGTCTACTTAAGTTGTTTTTTCACTCATAATTAAGTTCTCTGTCCTTCTGCCATTCAAGACCCTGTCCTTAACCAACTGAAAAAGAGTAAAGATCTGTCCAGTGGGTTTAAAGACAAATAAGGTAACCACATTGGCTTGAGGTATACCATGGTGATTCTGTTTCCCTGTAGAGCAAAACAAGTGTTCGAGGAGCCAGGTTTCATAGCACTGGACTTTGAGTGCTCAGCTTTCCTCTACTGGACTCTTTCCCACCTGTCCCTGCCACTACACGTCTGTGTCCCAGTGTGCTTGACTGGAATCCCTTCCCGGCTCATTCATATAGAAGGCCCGGGAGAGTCAGTGTCACTCTCTCAAATGTTCATTGTCTCCAGTGAGAACTCGGCATAAGGACAGAAACAAGTGCGCTAGTAGGAAGACGCAGGGAATGACAGCAATGTTTGATGACCCTAATCAGCATTGATTCAAACATTGCTTCTTCCCTGACAAGAGACTCTCTTCTGAGTCTTTGGAGTTTCCAAGTCTAAGTTCCACTTTTGTCTCTCTTATGGTGAATGCAGGTGTGTTTTT